CCTCCAATTGGTGCGTCCTCAGTAGCCGAGTGATCATACTCGGGCAGAACAAGCGGCGAGCCCTAAAAGATCGCACTCTAGCCATTTTCTCAAGAATGACCTTCCCTAAGTCGAACTTCATCCAGGTCAGGAAGGCATAAATTAGAAGAACCTTGGCTGGACGTTGGAATGTCCCCTTCTTCATATTCTTGTGACATTCATTAGTATCCCGCATCCACGTAGCTACAAAGTTAGGTCCACACAGCTGGCGTCAGATGTTAGGATAGTCAGGGCGATGAAGAAACCTCCGAAACAGATTGTGAGAGTGCTTTACGAATCCCATAACCTGGTTTATCACCCGAGAGAAAAAGGGGATCACTTTGTCTCGCACATGTACCTGGTGCATAGCATCCAAACTAGCCTCGGGCTGCCAGTTGGCATAGAACTCCTTAACTAGGTTCATGTTCACCGCATCATCGGGACGGAACAAACTCTCAAATCCCAGGGCTTGGATGTTGTTGTAGATCAAAGAATACATCCGGGGCAACTTCCCATCATCAATTGCAACCTCGGGATCCAGGTTCACAATAGGGACAAAGGTCCTAAACCAATGTCTATCATGAGCTGGGACAGCCCGAATGCCAAACTTTCCCCTAGGGACCACGTCTGTATCAGGGTCAATTTGCTCCATCTCCTCTTCCACTGGGGCAGCGGGTTCTGCCCGCCTACCTCCTCTCCTACTACTTGAGGCAACTCTAGAGGAACTAGTGTTGACATGCTTACTTGGACGACGAGACATTGTACCTGCACAAGATGAACATAATTAGCCACAACACTCAGAATAAAAAGCAAAGCCAAACATGATAACCACCCCTACACTTATGTCATTGTCATGTTCATAAGTACAATGGATACCGGGGACTCAAACTATCCTATTATGAGCACGTCACAAGTTATCAGCAACCCACCTAACCACCTAAATAACATTACAATAACAACAATCAACGATTACACTACACTATGTTAAAGTACAAAACCAAGAATCTAAACTAGTAACTAAGAAAAGAAAATCAAGAAGTTATACTAATTGACTACAAATAAAAATAAGAAGTTACACTACAAAACTACACAAGTATAGAGCATGAATCGGGCACCGTAATTAGCAACTAGTGACAAAATAGCATGAGGTGATCAATCGATTAGCACTCAAGGCTAACACTTCACAATATCACAAAATTCGCACATGACCGCCCACCCCACATTCATTATCTATCATCACATCATTACAAAGCAATTACCCTCTAATTCAGCAACAAAGTACACATTCTATGTCGGTAGGACATTTTATCAAACACATTGTAGCCACTAAGTTCAACTTATAATTTCAACTCAAAGTGGTCTAGAACCACCACACATATAAACCAATCTCACGCCCAACAATAACCACAACATCATCAAATCTTAGCAATAGTATAAAGTTCTCCAATTTCAACCAAAAAGGCCACAAATTTTTGGCCATAATACAACTCCCACCAAGCTTCATAAAATATATATTCTAATATCACCATTACATACTACAAACCCTTCACAAGCATTAGTGCTAACAAAATCCCACCATAATCAAGCATAATTTTGGCCATAATAAGAAAAATTACTAAAAGCTACAATGAAAAAGCTAACTAGGGTTTGAAAAAAAAATTAAAAAAAATTAAACCTAACACTACCCAAATACTACAATGAATATACAAAATGGGATGGAGAAGAGAGATAATAAACTTACCTTGATGCTTGAGGAAGATGGTAGGATGTGAGTGTGGAATGATTTGAAGAAGAATGAAGGAATGCAGGGTGGGTTAGAGAGAGGAGAATGGAATAATTGGGAAAAGAAAGGGAGGATAATGGGTCGGGTGTTATTATTTTTATTTTTAATGTTTTTCAAAAAAAATTCAATAACTAGCCGAAAAGATACACTACCGCGCTGGGGGCGCGTTGCCCCGCGCGCCATGGTAGTGGAAAGTTCAGAGGCTTGTTTTCCTGTCATAGGGGCGTGTTTGGCCTGGCGCAGCACAGGGCGCGGCGCCCCACGTGGCGCGCTAGGCCAATTTCTCAGAGTTCCGCCAATTTTTGTAAATTTGCCCATAGTTTGCTCCCCAACTCCATTTTATACTTATTTTGTGTCCAATTCATACTACTTAAATGCCCCAACAAGTATCAACACTCCTAAACTCTAATAGTCATAATCTATGATCATCTAACTATTCTACAAAAGCAAGAAAAAAGGGTTAGAAGTAGTTCTGAGTTATAGTGGTCAGCTTGACTCCGTCACTTAGGCTCATTTGATCACTATGCTAGAGGACTGCTTGTCAAATCCTCCAACAATGTACGGTTTCAACCTATGCCCATTCACCTTAAAGCTCTCAATTCCTTCCTCATTTTGGATTTCAATGGCGCCATACGGTGAGACACGTTTCACCACATACGAACCCCACCACCTTGACTTGAATATTTCGGGGAACAACCTAAGTCTACTATTGTATAGCAAGACTTTGTCCCCTTCATGAAACTCCTTTGGCTTAATCAGACGATCATGCCACATCTTTTCTATTCCTTAAAAATTCGCACATTTTTATACACGCCCAGTCTAAACTCTTCCAACTCATTCATCTGCAATAAACTGTGTTCACCTGCAAGACTAAGATCAAGATTAAGAAACTTAATTGCCCAATAAGCTTTATGTTCTATCTCAACAAGTAGGTGACACGATTTTCCATACACTAATTTGAAAGGTGAAGTCCCTATGGTTGTTTTGAACGCAGTTATGTATGCCCATAGAGCTTCATCCAATTTCACAGAGCAATCCTTACGAGAAGCACTAACCATTTTTTCAAGAATTCATTTTAGCTCATGGTTAGCCACTTCAACTTTCCCACTAGTTTGGGCATGGTATGGTGTTCCAGTTTTGTGTGGGACCCCATACCTAGACAACAATGCAGCAAACTGCTTGTTAACAAAGTGCGACCCATTGTGATTGATAATCACTCGAGGTGTCCCAAAAGGAGTAAAGATGTTCTTCCATAAGAACTCACACCCCACCCGAGCATCATTGGTACTGGTAGGGATTGCTTCGACCCATTTAGAGACGTACTAGGATATACTTATAAAAATAAGATGATAGGAACGGCCCCATGAAGTCAATGCTCCACACATAAAACATTTCACATACCAGAATGAAGTTTAGCGGCATCTCATCCCTCTTGCTAATGTTACCTGCCCTTTGACACTTGTCACATGCAGCTACATACGCCTGTGCGTCTTTGTACAAAGTTGTCCAATAGAAACTGGCTTCCATGACCTTTGCTGCAGTGTGATTTCCACCACAGTGTCCTCCAGCTGCTCCATCATGGGAATGAGACAAAATGCTGGCCATTTCTCCTTCAAGTACACATCTTCGAATCACACCATCTGCACATAATTTAAACAAGATGGGGTCATTCCAAAATAACTTTTTATCTCACCTTGAATCTTCCTTTTTTGATCATGAGAGAGGTCGCGAGGAAAGCATCCACTAGCCAAAAAGCTGGCTACATCAGCATACCAAGGCGGTGTTTCGAAGATCGCATCAATGGAAAAAATATGCTCAGTAGGGAACTTCTCTTATATCTACTATCTCTACAGGAGGTCTCTCAAGTCGAGATAGATGATCTGCGACTTGATTTTCAGTGCCTTTCCTATCTTTAATTTCTAGGTCAAACTCTTAAAGAAACAACACATACCGCATCAGATGTTGCTTGGACCCCTTCATACTCAGCAAATATTCCAAAGTTGAGTGATCACCTTACTCCCCACTAGATAAGATCTAAACTTGTCAAAAGCAAAGACCACCGCAAAGAACTCATTCTCGGTAGTAGCATAATTCACTTGAGCATCATTCAATGATCGGCTTGCATAGTATATGGGCCTAAACATCTTATCTTTCCTTTGCCCAGAACTGCTCCCATAACTACATCACTAGCATCACACATTATTTCAAATGGCTGACTCCAATCAGCCTTCAGCATAATAGGAGCACTAACAATGTTTTCCTTTTTCAGTGCGAATGCCCTCAAGCACTTCACAGTGAATATAAACTTAACATCCTTTGCTAGCAATGCAGTCAATGGCTTGGTCATATTGGAGAAGTTTTTGATGAACCTTCTATAAAATTCACCATGCCCCAAGAAACTCCTTACGCTCTTCACAGAAGTCAGTGGAGGAAGTCTAGCAATTACATCAACCTTTGCTCTATCAACTTCAATGCCATTTCCCCCTTTCACCATGAAGTGACTCTTCTCTCAGTTAAGAACCAAGTGAGTGGCTTCGCAATATTTAAGCACATGCTCCAAGTTTTTCAAGCAGTCATAAAAATCATCACCAAATAGAGTGAAATCATCCATGAATACCTCTAGGCACTTCCCTTTTAGATATGAGTAGATAGACATCATGAATCTCTTAAAAGTGGCCGGTGCATTACACAACCCAAATTGCATCCTCTTGTAAGAAAAAATACCTGCAGGGCAAGTGAACATAGTCTTCTCAACATCTTCTGGGGTAGTCAGTATCTGATTGTAGCATGAGAACCCATTCAAGAAACAGTAACAAGCATGTCCATCCACTTTCTCGGGCATCTGATCAATAAAGGGGAGTGGGAAGTGGTCTTTTCTTGTTGCATCATTTAGCCTCATGTAGTCAATGCACATTCGCCGCCCTTTGACTATTCTTGTTGGGATCAATTCATTGTCTTTATTTTTCACCATTATCATGCCCCCTTATTAGGAACAACTTGCACTGGGCTGATCCATTAGTTATTATAGATGGGGAAAATCACCCACGCATCTAGAAACTTGATAATCTCTTTGTGTACTACCTCCTCTGGATTTCTTTTTCAGCTTGCGTTGGGGTTGCACTATTGGCTTGCTATTTTCTTTCAGTAAACTTTTGTGCATTCAAATGGATGGACTGATGTCTTGAATATCAGCTATGGTCTAGCCAATGGCTTTCTTGTACTTCCTCAGCATCTCTACCAACTTTTGTTCCTGTGCACCTGTTAAGTAAGCAGAAATAATCACAAAAAAATTGTTAGTCTCAAGAAAAGCATATTTCAAGTGAGTAGGGAGGACTTTCAATTCTACACTAGGCTTAGACGCCTCCTTATTGAGTTCCTCTTCATCAACCACTTGATCCTCAGTCTTAAGAACTTCAGCCTCTTTCTTTATTTCAGGATCTTCATCCTCCACTGTGCTATATTGAGTAATACACCCCTCTAGAGTATCCCCTACAAGCTTATCAAACTTGTATTTTTCATCCAACTCCCCAACAATAGCAAGTTTAAAACACGAGTAGGCAGATGCCTCATCACTGGGATATTTCATCATTCTCTTTATATGGAACACCACTTTATCGTTACCCACTCTAAGCATAAGTCGTTGCTCCTCGTAGATATCAAGAATTTCTCTAACTGTATATAGAAAAGACCTCCCTAGAATCAGAGGCACCTCCTTATTCACTTCCATGTCCACCACAATAAAGTCTACGGGGAACACAAACTTGCCCATCCATACTAGAATATCTTCGATGATTCCTTCAAGTAAGATGGTGGACTGGTCAGCCAGTTGTAAGGACACTGGTATGGATTTAAACACTCCAAGCTCACCTTCAAGTTTCATGAACACAAACAAAGGCATTAAATTTATAGAAGCACCAGAGTCACATAGAGCCTTGTCAAATTTCTCATTCCCCAACGAGCATGGTATGGTGAAGCTTCTCGGGTCCCACTTTTGAGGAAATTTATTTTGCAATATGGCACTGCAGTGGGCATTCAGCTTGACCATTGTCATTTTCTCTAACTTCCTCTTTCTGGATAAGATATTCTTCAAGAACTTAGCATAAGCAGACATCTGAGTGAGAACCTTTGTGAAGGAAATGTTCACATATAGTTGCTTAAACATCTCCAAGAACCGCCCAAAGCACTAGTCTAATTTTTCTCGCTTCATCTTTTGAGGTAATGGTAGACATGGCATGTGTTTGATTTCTTCAATCTCTTTTTTACACCATTACTCTCGCCTTTCTGTTCTTCACTCTTTTGCTCCTTCAATGTATTAGTCTGCTTGCTCACCACCTCTAGTCTAGTTTTCACAACTGGATCAGCCAATGTTTTGCCATTTCTCAGAGATGCAACCTTGATTGTTTCTTTCGGGTTCTTTTATGTGTGAGAGGGTAGAGTCCCAGGAGCCCTCTCAGATAACATGTTGGCAATTTGACCCACTTGTCTTTCCAGATTTCAAATAGCAGCACTATGAGTATCGAACCTCTATTCAGACTTGTTGATGAAAGCCTTCATGAAATCTTTCATACTAGACTGATTTGACTGTTATGACTGGTATTGCTGGTACTACTGCCTCAGATGGTTCTAAAAACTTGGTGGTCCTTGACCCTGGGGTCTAGGATTATTTTGCTTCCACGAGTTCAAACTCTCACTAGGTGAACTTCATGAAAAACATGGATGTCGTTGCCCCATAGCATTGAAGTTATTTCTACCTTGATAGTTTTCTCTATTATAGTTCCCCAAAATATTAACTTCCGCAGCTGAAGCTTGACAATCAAGAGTAGGGTGTCCCTTTGTACCTTGGCTAAGGTCAACTTTTTTATCTCCTTGGCCATGGTGTCTAGCTGAACTTACACTGATGTGTTAGAGTCTACCTGGTGAACCCCAACTGATTTTCTTCTTTCATTACTCTCAGCGGGCTATTGGTTAGCATCCCCAGATAATTCTTCAAGGATAGAGACAATCTCCTCAGGAGTTTTCTTTATTAATGGACCTCCAACTGTATTATTCAGAGTTCTTTGGGAGGAGGGTATCAGTCCATCCCAAAAATCTTGGAGTTGCATCAACAATTCGATTTCATTATGCTGGCACCTTCTCACTATCTCTTTAAATATTTTCCAAGCTTCGAAGACTGTTTCAGTGTCCTTCTAGCAGAAGTTGTGGATTTCCCTTCTGAATTTTCCTATTTTTGCAGATGAGAAGTACTTGTCCAAAAACTTTTTTATCATATCTTCCCATGTCCTGATCGACCCAGTTGGTAGGCTTTGAAACCAGTGCTTCACATCATCCTTCAGTGAAAAGGGGAATGCCCTTAAGTAGACCGCATCTTTGACACTCCGTTGTACTAGAAAGTGTTCATGATTTCCTCAAAGTCCATCAAGTGAGTGTTTGGATCTTCATGTACCTTTCTTCCAAAGACGTAGTTGTTTTGGATGGTTTGAAGTAAGTCTTGCTTCAACTCAAAATTATTTGCTGCTATTGGTGGAGGTCTGACACTCGACAGTCCCTGATTGTAGACTGGACTGGCACAGTCACCCAATGATCGGCCTGCTCTGGGACCCACATTTCCAAATGCATCTTCCGGAGAGGCCGGTTTAGGTTAAATCTCCATCCTTTGTCCCCATTAACAGTTTCATCATCTCCCAGAGCCGCTTTTGTCGTTAGGCTACATCCCTTGCAACCAAATTGAATCCATCATCACCATTTTTTGCCATGTGTTCTGGGGTCAAAGATTGCCCAAAGAAATTTCTGGTGATTCCTCTTTCTTTTCTTAGTTGTCGTAGGTATTTCTCCAACTCCGGTTCGTAAGGTATCACTTCCTTTGAAGAAGATCGAGTCATACACCAGAGAAGTTAAACTTGTTGCCTGTACACAAGTGAGAAAACGTGAAAACAAGAAAATAAAATTGGTTCCTGAATTAGCATCAAAAATTATTTTGAACACTATTGATTGCCAATCCCCCGGCAACAACGCCAAAATTTGACGAACACAAAATACAATACGAAATTAATGCTCACTAGTCAAAGATAGTATAGTTAATTATCATCTCTACAGGGATTGGATTTAAATAATGTTCGAATAATTTTCAGTTACTGGCTATCCAAGATGATTAATACTTTGATTGGAATATTATCAACTACAATTAGCTACTAAAAGTAAAGCAAATATCAATTGATCACGGAAACAAGAACTGAGCAACACAGAAATATCAGTGAGAGAAATAAGGGTAATTGACTAGACAAGTGCATGACAATTAACTCGGGATCCAATTCTTGAATTAGTTCACTCTATAATACTGTTGATTCTCACGAATTCACCAAATAATTAGATTACACTTGAAGTTAAGGTTCCTCTTTCAAGTGAACTTTAATTCCCAATTGAAGCACTATGAACACTTACTATGAATATAATGATGGTTTTAGTCTAAATGGTAACTTCTCACCAATATTTTCCTATTTTTTTTAGTTTAGTTAATAATTCAAGAGGCTCTTTCGATTACCTAGATGAATCACGAATTTAAACTAGAGCATGAGATGTAAAAAAATTCAATATCAAACTCCTTCTTCGATTAAGTAAAATAATGAATAATTTTACAATACAATTCAAAACTCCATCAATTAATTCAAGAAATTGACAAGAATCAAATCCCTAATCAAATCATCAATACACCATATATGTCAAATCCCTAAGGGAAAACTACTCCATAATAGTAGGAGAAATCATCACAGATAAAATTAAGTAAGAAAACATGAATTCAATCTAAACTCGAGTATTGAGTTGATGGAAGAATGATGAATTCTTGTACCTTAGAGTCTCCAATGCTTTTCCAATCTTCCGTAGGTCAAAAGTCCTCCCAAAATTGTATTTTTTGTGTATTTATACCATATAGATGCAGGTTCGGATGAAACTACCCTTTCCAAGGGAAGTGAAAAAATACTCTAACAAAACTACACAAGCATGGCGCGCCCCGCGGCGCCCCATGCAATGCGCTAGTGGGGATATCCAGAGAGCTGATTCTGATAGAGATTCTCCAAATGCACTACCACGCCGCCGCACGGTAGTGCAAATTTCTCAGAGTGAATTTTTTTCTCATTTTTTGATATCCAGACTTGGTCCTCGACCCCTGAACGCAATCCTGGTTTAATTCTTTTGGCTTTTACTCAGATTTCAAAGCTTCAAATTATTCAATTTAGCTCCAAAATATTTTCCCAACTCTGAATCATTTCCCGCAAGGCATAAAACACGTGATAAGTGTAAATCACCATCACTTAAGATCAAACACGAATAAAGTGTAATAATTAGAGTGCAAAATACGACTAAAATATGAGTTTCTAGCCTACCATCACAATTCTCGAAAAAGACCATACTTGGCACAAGGAGGACAAGTTACCTAAAAATGCTCCTACGTCTTTGAGTTAGTAGCATTTTAACACCTCCAGCGCAGTGCTGCTTACTACTCTATGTTTTACCCGCTTGTCAAAAAGAAAAAGAAAAAGAAGAAGTGATGTGACGTTTCTAAAATGCTATTTCCACTACCTTTTTCTTTGTTACTTCCTTTCTGCCATTGAATTTCTTTGAAAAGTGTAACATATACGAAACGGATGCATCCATATCCACCGATTTTTCTTTTGGTTGAAATATTTCATGACACCAAGCTTTTCAGTGATGAATTTAAACTGCATTCAGTTGGCTTCGCTAGAGTCTACTTCAAACCCGAAAGTTTGAAGTTTGAATTATAAAAACGTAATTTCAATTTCAGACTGTCAGGTATGTTTGAAGTTGAGATTTTGATGCAGCTAAAGTTTTATAACTTTATAAATTTCGACTATTCTTTAAATAAAGGTCCGAGGAACGGCTATTTGTGCACTCCCCCATAGTATATACTTGAGCTCCTTTTTTTTCTCTTTTCTTTTGGTTAAAGTATATTTACCTTACCGGAGAATCAATGCAAAATAATCACATGAGATTTTTGTTGTTAAACCACCATCACATTTTCACAACCCATTTTTGCAGAAATTAGCCTCTTATTTGCGTAGAAATTTGAAGAATTAGATAACCCGTTAGCAACGTAATCAGTCCCCTCCGGCTAATAGGGAAATATTGTTCAAGAGCTGCTATGAGATCTCCGATTGCAGTAGGCAAAATAACTCAAAGACCGGCACTAGTCTGCTGGAAACTTGTAGCGCTCCTAAGAATGTGGTTAGGTATTGGTCCAAAACATTTTCTTATTATTTTCTAAAATAGATGTGTCCGAGTCAAGCTTGGATGTACCTCAGATTATTCCACTTGATACCTGCTACATCTTACTAATATCGGAATCAGATAATTTTGCTCACCAAAGTTTGAGTAAATAGGAAAAAATCACTTAGTATTCTTTTTCCAAAACATTTATATATTAGCAACTCACCTTCTCAAACTTTCATTGAGACTACTAAGGATTATATTTGGTGTAGTTCCATGAAGAAAGAAAAAGATTTCCCAAGCAAAGACTGACAGACGTAACACGAGCTAACCGTTCTGCTAAAACTTCCTTTTCTCATATTTCTACAAATACCATCACTAATGAAAAACCTTCTTACCAAGTTTATCTCCTCATAAGCTGAAAACTTTCCCCTGCACCCTATGTAAGCTTAAGTGGAGATGATGTTGTCAAAAATTAATTCAGGCTAGTACGGTATGCAAACTGCATTTAGATCTCAAAAGAAAATTGATAAATCATACTTCTAAAAAAAAAATTCTTTCACGCAGTAAGGTACAAGTACAATAGAATGGGAATTATAATATTTCATTGGTTGGCAACCTAAACGTTCACCCTTCCCCTCCCCTTATGTATTTCTTAAATTAAAGGGGAAAGTATGGGTTGCTCTAGTGGTAAGCACCATCTACTTCCAACCAAGAGGTTGTGAGTTCGAGTCACCACCCCAAGAGCAAGGTGGGGAGTTCTTGGAGGGAGGGAGCCGAGGGTCTATCGAAAACAGCCTCTCTACCCCAGGGTAGGGGTAAGGTCTGCATACACACTATCCTCCCCAGACCCCACTAATGGGATTATAGGTGGTTGTTGTTGTTAAAGGGGAAAGTATGGTAGCTCAGTAAATTGGACTTTCACCTTGTTGGCGGGGTCCAATTCCCCTCCACTATGTATACTATTCTTTTTTAGAAAACGTACAGCACGAAAAACATAAAAAGCTTATCAATATTACAAAACGTACTATCTCACTCAACCTAGGTATGTTTTATCAAATTTTAGTTTATCAATTGGGGTGATAACTAAGACTACATGTTACACCTCTGGCACTAACTGTTTTGCCTGGCTGCTGTTCATATAGGCACAAATATCACCAAGTCCTCATAATTCTAAAGATAACTAAACCTAAAATTTCCCTATACACCATTAGACATCAAGTCCTACAAAAAGTTCTCAAATGCAACGAAACAAGTAGGACGGCCCCATAAAATACATGGCAATCAATTATGCATAGATGAAATGGATTAATCTAGCTATGTTACATTTAAATTGTTAAATCATTAAGGTTTTCAACAAAACTGCAGGGTGGTTGTAATTCTCCTGGACTCAGTGATCTACTCATCCTGGCGTTGCGTCTGTTGACTAGTTTTATTTCTGTATGAAGCTAGAACTTAAAAATATTTTTACAAACCTTTGTTACTACTCGACAGGTCAAAGAAACTCTTGTGTTAGCCCTGTAAATGACAGTGTCATCACTATCAAGTGCTTTCACCGAACCTGATAATTGCTGAACCACTCCATGATTTTGAGCATTTGTTAAATTTACAGCCTGGAAATAAAAGGGAGCACAATTATACAAAGACGTCGGGTACTCATTTCAAGTGACATTGAGGATCAACAATGCTTGTCATCTTACCTCGTTACATCGCTGCACCTCAGAATCTTTTATACCATGCAAGTAGTCTGGACAACAAGAAACAACACAAATACTAAGTACCAAATATGCGTACATAATTTAGACATCTTTACAAATACCCATAAAGCTTTTGATAATCAGAGGTGAATTAGGGATTTTCGAACAAGTGTGGGGATTTTGAAAAGGCACCAGCCGGGCCCCCCTCTATCTTTTTCTTTTTTTGATAACTGTAGTGTCCGGGCCAGCTTGCGTGCACCTCGACTAATTCCACGGGATACCTGCCACCTCGCATGAGCAACAGGTATCCGGTAACTCTATCCATTAAGACTTCACATATGGGAAGAATGTTTTTTGCCTACGCTGGGATTTGAACAGATCTCATGGTTCTCACCCACTTCATTGACCACTAGGCCACACCCTTGGGTGCAATCGGGCCTCTCTTTGTTTCGATGAAAGCCTACTCGCGTTCCGGGGGGAACTTTTTTGACTATTTGCCTTCATCAAAGCCAGAAGCAAAGGGCGAAACCTCCACAAACTAGCAAATAAAGGGATCAAGGGCTCTTTACTAATATAATATCATATATGTCACTTCCTCAAAGAAAGCCGTACTCCCATCAAAAGTTAAGGCTAGTGACATCAGCTAAATTGGCTTTTGTGAATAAAGATATAGGGGCTTATTGACAAGTTCTGGTGCAATTGGACAACTAGCATTGGAGGTTTGGCAAATTAAACCATCAGAAGAATGGGCAGGGCGGAATAGAACCTTTTTGTCACTAGCAATAGAAGCTAAAACTTCAAGGACAATGTTGACACATCTTCAAAGTACTCTGAGAATAGTTATCAAAACCTCAGGCAGTATGTCGAATTGTAACCTGAGTGGTTCTGTCGAAACTAACTACCCAAATAGAAAGTTTTACCTGAGTACACCAAGTCTTTGAATATCAACAAACTCCGAGGCATCAATACGATAGAAAATGGATGGCAATTATCCAGCTGTTCACCAGAATTCATCACAGCAGCCCCCGGGTCAGAAATTTTGTCATCAACACCGTTTCCATGTGTACTGCTGCTCAAATTAGGATGTGGAGTGAAATCCATAACTACAGGAGATCCAAGAGAAAGAATTGCCACTACAGGATAATAAGCTGGTCCATCTTGATGCGGCTGCAGAACAGGTGCTCTTGTCAGCAAAACTAATTTAATGTTAAGCAAAGCCAAGGAAATTAATCCTGATTCACTAATATAGCTATTATCCTGTTTTATTAGCTATGAGCCTATGACTTAAATTATCCACAATTTTACCAGAACTAGCAGTTGCAATACAGACCTCCTAACCAGAACTAACATGATAAGCACATTGACTTTATATATAGACAGAGTCAAAATGTTCAAAACTTTGTAAGGAAGTAGGTACTACAAAACAAAAGAGAATATAGGAACAGATATTTGAGATAAAAATGGAATGGGGAAAAAGGAGGAAGAAAAAGAAGAATAAGCAGCAAATGAAATGAGCAAAGCAGCTTACACGAGTTCAGAACAAACCATTATTCCTTGGTTATGAAGGTATTCATTGATAAGCACATGATTAATTGATGAAGGAAATAACCCTGATTTCTCATTTATTCTCTCTGTAATTCTAGTTAACCAAGGAGGCACTGCAAACAAGAAAAGAAAAGCGATATAATAGGTTTTGACTAATACGTTATACATAATAAATGGCTCAAAAAATATATAGATACATATGATATAGATATTTAACTAACTGCATTGGTCCAGTACGAGAAAGATACGTTCAAATTTTCAAATAGGAACAGTTTAAAATATAACTAAGAAGATTCCAGAATATAAATATCTCAACAACAACAGCACCTCTTTATCAAGATAGTTTGGGAAAGAGGGACTGTGGTTGCACTTTGGGCAAAGAACACTGAACCAACTTTTTCCGGACTTTTACAATCTGAACCAACAACAAGGATCATCTGTTGGAGAGGTGTGGACAGGCCTAGGGTGGAACCTCACTTATAGAAGACTACTAAACGATTGGGAAATTCAGAGGTTGACAGCTTTCTATAACACTCTAGAACAATTCACAGGGACATCAAACACTGAGGATCGTGTGATCTGGCAAGGGGGTAGAGAAGGCAAGTTCTTTGTTAGATCAGCTTACAAGGAGTACAATCACTCTAACAACCAGATTGGTTGTTGGCCTTGGAATATGATATGGAAAGTCAAAATCCCATACAAAGTTGCATGTTTTACTTGGCTTTTAGCAAGAGAGGCAATTTTGACACAAGATAATCTCATTAAGAGAGGATATCAGTTGGGCTCCAGATGTTATCTATGTGAAGATCATGCGGAGACAGTCAGCCATCTTTTTTTGCACTGCAGAGTTACTGACCAATTATGGAAGATATTCATCAACCTGAGGGGGATTCGATGGGTCATGCCCGGGAGAATTCGGGAAGTTCTAGCAAGCTGGAAAAGAGATAGTGAACAATCCAGTCAGAAAGAGAGATGGAAGATTGTCCCAACTTGTATATGGTGGACAATTTGGAAAGAAAGGAATCAAAGGTGTTTTGAAGACAACCACAGTCCTATACAAAAGTTGAAGATGAGCTGTCTAGTGCTTTATTATTTTTGGTGTAAACAGGAGTATTTAGAAGAATGTGAATATATTTTTGATGTTTTAGATTATTTATGAGATTTTACAGAGAACTAGAATCTCTTCTGGTACTCCCTCTTGTAATTATGGATGGTTACACTGGTTTGGTACAGTCCACCTTCTAATTAATACAAATATGTTACTTTTTCAAAAACAAAAATGCACTTTGGAGGAGAACTTTGGTGGAAAAGTTTTCGTTGGACAATCCATGGCACACCAAAGAGTCTAGAGTGCCTCATGGCACCGGTTTACGGAAACATATTAGAGGTTGTGAGTTCGAGTCACCCCAAGAGCAAGGTGGGGAGTTCTTAGAGGGAGAGAGCCGAGGGTCTATCGGAAACAGCCTCTCTACCCCAGGGTAGGGGTAAGGTCTGCGTACACACTACCCTCCCCATACCCCACTAGTGGGATTATACTGGGTTGTTGTTACTAATTCGGAGATTGGATTAGAAGCTTAAACTTTAAAAAGAAAATTGAGTAGCAATTTCAAGAACTTATTTGGAGTTGGATGTTGAATCTTGGCCTATTATATTTGGACTACAGCTTTGTAAAATTGTATATTGGCCACATGATTGCAATGTATGTGCGTGAGTTGCACTTATGTGTAGTTCTCCCTTCATTTTCAACCACTCCTTCAGCAGCTTTACTAGCCAAATCATGTTACAACAACAACCCAGTATAATCCCACTAGTGGGGTTTAGAGAGGGTAGTTTGTACACAGACCTTACCCCTACCCTGGGTAGAGAGGCTATTTCCGATAGATCCTCGGCTCCCTCCCTCCAAGAACTCCCCACCTTGCGCTTGGGGTGACTCGAACTCACAACCTCTTGGTTGGAAGTGGAGGGTGTTCACCACTAGAGCAACCCACTCTTGTCAACCAATATAGAGAAAAAAAAAAAGAAAAAGTTTTCAAAAGACGAACATAGAAATGTATAATAAGTACAAAAAAGCACATCATATAAGAATTGTTACTTCCCATACACNCTAGCCAGATCATGTTGACGAGAATTTTTCCAACAACAAGTCGACAACCAGAACTTTTTCGGCAACTCTTCGACGATATTTTCGGTAATTAACCGATGACACTATCAAAAAATATTTACTTTTTAAATTTCAAACAAGTAAACTCACTCCACAATGAGTTTATGGAGACTGTTAGAATGTTAAATGTTAGTATTAATAGATTTGAAGTTAAGTTCTCAAGTTTGTCATTTTCCTAATCGGACAAATATTATATGTGAATTGTGTTCAACACATATAAACAGGTGTTTCTCATCAAAATATCAAGTAAATCAAATTATATCTCTTCTTCTCTTACTTCCCCAGGATCCTGAGAAAGAGATCACCAATAAACAAAGCCCTCCAATGTCAAAGATTGATTAGAGAGAGCAATCTATTACAGAACAGTTTTCGTTTATGCTTTGTCCAAATATACCCTATATCAATTCTTTGCACAATTGAAGCCCCAAATGCTTAACCATTAAAACCTTATTGGCTGAAAAACAAGCAATGAATTATGCTTTCTTAGTGTGTTACATGTACCTTATGGAGGAAACAGATATTAGATGCTTTAAGGGTTTGAATAAGCATATCCCCAAACTGAAGTTCCAATGCCTTAGACAACTATCTTGTTGCATAGAATATTGTGCCAATAGGGTTGAAGACCTTGTATGGTTCATCGGTTTAGTTAAATTGTACTTGGGTTTCTCTCTCCTCACATTTCTTGATAATTGATGCTCTTTGCAAATCTGGTGTATCCGGATGCAACTCCTTGTTGTCCATCTAAGCAAGTCTCTTTTACCAATTAAAATAAAAAAGAACTAGTTGATTGAGTATTGGAGCACAAAATATGTTATTGATATTGGATGATAAATACAATACAAGAGGTCCCAATTTATAGCTATACACTACAAGGAGATATTACTCCTCTTCCAATGTGGGACAAGACTACACTATACATATCTATAAACTAACACTCCCCCTCAAGCCGGTGCATACACATCATATGTACCGAGCTTGTTACACATGTAACTAATACGAGAACCAGTAAGAGACTTAGTGAAAATATCTGCTAGTTGATCATTCGACTTTACAAACTTTGTAAAAATATCTCCTGAAAGTATTTTTTTCGCTGACAAAGTGACAGTCGATCTCAATGTGTTTAGTCCTCTCATGGAACACCGGAT